ATATATATATATATATATACACACACACACAACTTCAAAATAAATTCTCACCCTGTACTGAAAACAGATTCAGTGTCTCAGCGCCACCAGCTGATGAGAGGTGGTGACGTCAATTTGAACCCCGCCCACTGGAACCGGTACTGAAAGCATATTGGAAACACAACCTGTACCGTACTGAGTAGAGTAGAGCCGTGCTCTACAGGTACTAATGGAAATGGGGCATTACTTACCTACTTGCTTACTTACCTACATACTTACTTACCTACATACTTATCTACTTACATACGTACTTGCTTACCTACTTACCTACCTACTTACCTACTTACGTACATACTTGCTTACTTGCTTACCTACTTACCTACTTGCTAACCTTCTTGTCTAATTTCTTACTTACCTATTTACTTACTTACCTACTTACTTACCTACTTACCTATTTATCTAATTACTTACTTACCTACTTACTTACCTACTTGCCTACTTACTTACCTACTCACATACCTACTTACTTACCTATTTATCTAATTACTTACTTACCTACTTACTTACTTATCTTTCTTACTTACCTACTTACTTACTTACCTACCTACTTACCTATTTACTTACCTACTTACTTATTTACTTACATACTTAACTACTTGCTTACCTACTTAATGACCTACTTATTTACTTACTTACTTCTTTCTTTCAAAATAGTTAACCTGCTGCTTTAAATAATGACTGTCATGGCCTCTCTTTATTAAACCTTTTCTCAGAATTTGAAGAATTTCACAGTTTTCCAATATTATTTTATTCAGTTGCACAAAGACGAAACTTGACCTGCTGCAGTAATGTACTTGTGTGTGTGTGTCTTTCAGTTCATGGACTCAATGATCAGCATCAACATTACATCGGTGTGCCAGGTGAGTGTTGCACCATGCAGTGAGGCTTTTTTAGCATGTTCATCTGAAAGAAACCTCTTAGAAAATGCTAATGTTAAAACAAATCAGAAGTGCAAAAATAAAGCAGTCATGATTGCATATGCTGATTTGTAGTTAATGTACCTTTAGCAGTAATTACAGCTTTGACGCTGTGTGGACAGATAGGTGGATTTGTTTTTGATTCTAGGGCAGTGCATTTTTAACCACTTTTCTTGGTAAAGGGCTCGAGTTCAACAGAATGAAAAATGGAAAGTTCTATGTTTTTTTTTTAAAGTATTCATCTTGCTTCACTTTAAAGTGCTTTTATGTCCGTCTGTGCTGAAAGCAGAGACTATTTTGAGTGTCCAAATTAGTCAGCACCTAATGGACTTTACTAACTTTGATTTCTGTGCTTAGTATTAGTATTCGTGTGTTTTCTTGACCACTTTTAAGTAATTAGTTTTGTTCACATGAACTCAAGTGACTGATGGTTTGTAGTGTGCTGTCAGTCATACAGACCAGAGAATTCACACACGTCACTTCCATCTTTGTTCAATAACTACCAGAGCAGCAGCTAAAGTCCACCCACTCTTTGTAACACTTAATTTAGGTTATTCAATATTTCTTCAAATGACTCCCTCTGCTATCATTAACATTCCTCTTTGTCTTTGTCTCGCTTCTCGGACCACCTCTTCACACACCTCCCACAAGCATACATGTATAAAAATGTGGAGGAGCACATCCACACACTAACTACGCACAATAACCTTGCTTTTTTCTCTCTTTTTTTTTTTTTTTTTTTTGTCTGTGAAGGACTTTTATTTTGTATTTTCCCTCAATTTTTTCTGTGTTTTTTTTTTTCTTCCCCAGATGACGCGTCTAGTTTTACCTCAAATGGTTGACAGGTGAGTTTGACTTCAAGGGGTTTAGGCATCGTATTAGATATTTAAAAGTGTAAATGTTCAGAAATATTTATCACAGCTAAAAGCAGTGAGAACACAGAACATTTTCAGGGCGTGGTATTTCTTGAAGAAATGCATCTGGCCCACAATCTTTCATAGAGTTTGAAACTAAGCTCACCTTAATATGAGAATGGACAGAGTTCTAGCTGGTTTGATTTTCCTCTTCATTTTCAAAGGTTTAAAATGACATTATACCATTTTGTGGGATCTTGTAAGATGTGCTAGTGCTCAGAGATTGTGTTAAAGGTGTCAGCTACCACCATCATGTTGGCATATGCTAATTAGCTGTGGCGAACACCTTGAATTGTGTCGAGTCCAAATTTCAGTCAGCTGTAGAGTTCCACCCAATGATTTTCTGAAAGTTGCATTTAAATCCATGCAGTTGCTAACAGATAGACTGTTGACAAATAGATAACGGCAAAGTTTTAAAACTAATCACATGATCAGTTAGCACTCAATGTCTGGACTCACCCTCATTTACTACCACACCAAACGTTAGGTTAATATTCGTAAAATTACCTGATTTATAGCCACTTTGGTGTCGGACAAGTTTGCTTAGCTGTGGCAGCCATTTTGAATGTAGTTGACTTGTAGAAGCTCATTCAATGATTGTTTTCTGAGAGTTTTACTAAATTGTGTCCAGTGGCTCATGAGACATTTTGCTGACAAACATAGTGTTGATTTAACAGATAATGGTAAAAAGATGTTGCACAGTATGTAGCCATCAGAGTACATGTTCACTTTCAGCCACTACAACACCAAAGTTTAGCTTAATATCTGTCAAACTGCTTAGCTATGACAGCCATCTTGAATGGGACTGACTCCAAAGGTCAATCATTTGGAGATGTATATCCACTGATTACTTTCTGAGATGTTTATTTGCGTTTCCGCAATAGTTTATGATATGTTGTTACAAACACACACACATATGCACACAGACACAGACAAAACATTATCACCTCCTGACCTTTGGCAGCAGGTCATAAAAAGTTTTGAGAAAATAGCGAGTGCATTAAAAAAAAAAACTTAATTTTCATGTATATTATGATAGAAATTACATTTAGGGTTGTTCTGTTTGATATTGTTCTAAGAAATGTGAAGCCTTGTTTAGCTTTCTCAAAATAATAAAGTAAACTGTATTAAAAATGGAGTACATGGCGTGTACATTTAAATGAACGCTAATTACAGGCTCATGTCAACATGTTCATATAATAAATATACAGTAGTCCCTCACTTATTTTTTTATTTTATTTATTTAGCCTTTATTTATCCAGGTTAGTCTCATTGAGCCACGAGAACTCATTTTCAAGAGAGACCTGTTTTAGGGAGCACATGGTGGGGGTTAAGGGCCTTGCTCATGGGCCCAGGGTGGGGCGAATGAGGGTGGGGGCAGGTGTGGGTGTTTCACCTACCCCACCCACAATTTTGATGTTGTCGGGGCCGGGGCGTGAACCAGCGATCTTCGGATCACAAGCCCACCTCTCTAACCTCTGCGCCACCACTCCAGACACCCCCACAATAAATGAAAATCTGCGAAGTAAGGACATTAAATTCATTTTAGTGTTTATATATATTTTAAGTCTTTATTTACCCTTCCCACACTCTTGCACTGTTCTTAACAATATTCTAAACGCTCTAAAAGAGCACAGTGAAAGAGAGCAGACCGACTGATGCTATGGTTACTGAGCCAATCAGCTCCCAGGATACAGAGCGCAATGCTCTGGTTGGTCACCTTCCATCAATCAGCCAACCGTGTGTTGTCTATAATTTTGCATTGAAAACCTGCGAAACAGTGAATCCGCAAAAGTCGAACCGCAAACTACCGAGGGACTACTGTACTTATTTTCTGTTGAAATAAAAAAACTTAGCACATTGTGGCTGCTTCATACAGATCAGTTGTGACTTTCAGTTGCTTTATTTAAAGTCTAAAACAACAACAACAAAAACTGTGGTGACAAAAGCAGAGATAGTGCTCTTTCTTCCTGGGAGATGAAAAGAAGAGATCATTTATGTGAGCCCAATTATGCAGAGGGAAAAGTTTCAGTTAAAGAGATTAGCCTGATGCTATGGATCCTGAGCCAATCAGCGCCCAGGGGCGAATTGGCCATTGGGAGCACCGGGACATCAGCTCGGCTCGGATTAAGGCTCGGTCTGGGTTAAGGCTCAGCTCGGCTTGATTATTTAAAATAAACAATCCATGCTGCTCACTCTTTTATTCGCCTCGCTAATGCCCCCACAGCAGCGATGGGAAAAGACAGACCCCCCCCTTCTCTTTCTGAGGCGGTCAGTCACTGTAGAGCAGAGCATCGTCCACCTGTTTCTCTGCTCTGCTGTGACAGACAGCCTCAGAAAGAGAAAGGAGAAGGCCCCTCAGTGATCGCTGAGCAGGCCAGGTCACCGGGAAACGATGTGTACAATCCAAGAATGTTCAGTCAGGTCATCTGGACTTTTTTTTTTTGTGCAGAGACGTTTCGTCCTTCATACAATGGACTTCCTCAATCTGAGGAACCACCAAACGGCGTACACCATGGATTGGTGGAGTCAGTTTTGTTTGGTGGTCCTCAGACTGATGAAGCATTCTGGATGGAGGGAGAAACGTCTCGGCACAAAAAAGAAACCGTCCAGATGACCTGACTGAACATTCTTGGATTTTATACCTGGATTATTGAGCATGAACTTTAATGTTTACAATCTTATGTTTAAAACCCACGCAAATTGAACCACGAAGTATCGAGGGAGTACTGTAATACAGTAAACCCATTGGCATCATGAAAACAGTTCTACAGCATACTGGAGTGTTGTCTTCCTTTCCTGTCATTATATTCCTGTACCAATGGAGTGGCATTGATGTGTTTGACATGGATTAGTTAAATTAGTTAAAATAATTTGTTAAATCAACTCAAAGCAGCCTGAATATGTTGCTGAGTTTGTTGTGTAATTTCCACTGCTATCAAAAGGGGGAGACAAAAGTTTCACACTTTCTACAAGCAGCACATCACAATGTAGGAAAATGAGATGGTTTGATGGTGCAGTTTTTTAATTTTATTTTAGTAAACAATGTAAGTAATGATTATGGAAATAAAAAAAACTTTTTTTAACTTTGATGTCTTTGCTTTCCCTGAGATTTGGTTAAAATTGAAGATAGCAAACTGATTACGTTTCTGCTTGAAAATATTTCTGCAGCATCCAACTTAATTTCCACGCATTACATGAGAAGGGAACGTGAGCGAAGAACTCCATGAGAGCTGATTCCTCCAAACTGCCCGACATCATAAAAAACTTTTTTTTTTTCCTCTTCAATATAACATCCCCTAAAAAAAAGAAAATGCCGGCTGAAGGCACCACAGGCTGAAGCAAAAATGTCATCAGATTGTAAACATTTAAGTATTGATGTTGCTGTATCTTTGATCTTATCATTATCCACCAGCTCTACTTTGATGCACTACGAGTGCAGCTTTGGCTCAGCATGCAAGTACATGCACTATCATATTCTTTTATCTTGCTCAGATTGATTTCAGGCTGAAGAGGCTGTTGCCCCTTTTTTCTCTCCTAGAGTCTGTTTCTGTCTGATGTAAAATATGTTTTTCCCCGTTCCCTTCTGTCTGGTTTCCAGGAAGAAGGGGGCCATCCTCAACATCTCATCTGCCAGTGGGATGTACCCTGTTCCTCTCCTCACCATCTATTCTGCCTCCAAGGTATTTGCACTACACGATGTATGACCTTCTCATCAAGTGTTACTTGAGGAGAGACATGTGGGTGCACCCCAGCTCCATAAACAGTTTATGTTAGCATACGCTGAGGAGAAATCTCTGTGCTTTTGTCTTATGAATTATTCTTTCTCATCGACCTGCATAGACCGGGGCAAGGCCTAATCGATAGGGGAATGTTTGCTTGTATGTAACGTTAAAGTGATGGACTATTTTTCTGTTGCTATTCCTGATAATAGGGAAATGCACTTGTATAGTTTTAGTTCAAGGCTTGTGCAGTTGTAGTGACATAACTTTATCTGTTATGTCATATTATTTGTGAGTTCAGCTGCTGTTTAATTGTGCTAACAAACAGTATACAGTAGTGCCTCGTTCATTGCAGGGGTTACTTTCCAGAACCCCCCCACCCCCCCACCCACAAAAAGTGAAATTCCATGAAGTAGGGACGTTATATTTATTTTAGTATTTATATCTATTTTAAGACTTCAGGAACCCTTCCCACACTCTTGCAATGTTATAAACTCTTAAACCTACATCATTTTAACAACATACTTACAGTACTGTATATGTAGCTACTAAATTAAACTTAACAGGTTCTGCCGAACAGCAGCGGCTCGGTTTCGGTCCGACTTTGTTCTGCTCTGACTTGTTTCCATTTTGGCAGACCTATCCTACTGGTTCTGGTCAGCTCTCTGGCTTGGGGTGGTGGCGGTGGGCTCCGAATGGAATGCTGGACCTTCGATGGTGTGCGACCCATTCGGAAGTCCTTGTGGGCCATCTATCAGCTCTCAAGATTCACCGATGGTCTGGAGGTCCGGTTCTAGTCCGGTTCCATGGGTTCCGTGCAGCTCGCTGCATCCACTGGGCGCCATAGTCACTGTAATAAGCGACACACTTTTCCAATCAGATCAAAACTTTACCTCTAGTTTTTCAGCAGAAGGAAAACGGGGCTTCTGGGAAATGTGGTCATTATGAGTGGCGATACAGTGTAGGCTTATTGAGGGAAAACTACAAAATGGTGGCGCCTGTCCAAAGTATTTAATTGTTTCGTTAACTTTTTACTGCACAATATCCCGTACTGTCCCAATTACTTAATATTAAAATTGACAATTGTGTCGTGTACATTTCGTGTTCAATCTTACTTGGAAAAACTGCGATGGAGCGAGTCCGCGAAAGCCGAACCGTGAAGTAGCGAGGGACTACTGTAATCTGTAAACACTGAAAAGGAAATAGATTCTGAATTTTGACTGCTTTCTTTAAATCCTTTTCTTCCTCAGACCTTTGTTTATGTTTTGAACCTTAATAACTCAACTTTTTTCTTAAAATAGGCATTTGTAGACTTCTTCTCTCGAGGACTGCAAGTTGAGTATAAAAGTAAAGGGATCATCATTCAGGTAAATTATACTTCACTCAGAGCTTCTGCTGTGAGTTTGTAAGTTTTTCATATGTCTGTCAATTTCTGATTACTTTCATTTGCAATATTTGTAGAATCCAAGGCTTTAAAAATACACTTAATCAAACAAAACTAGAGTTTTGTCACTGGGTAATGTTGTGTATCATTTCATTCTTTTGCTTCCTAGAGCGTTTTGCCATTTTTTGTTGTAACCAAGCTGAGTAAAATCCGACGGGCCACGCTGGACAAGCCCAGTCCAGAGCGATACGTTGCAGCTGAGCTCAACACGGTGGGACTGCAGATGCAGACCAATGGCTACCTTCCACATGCCATTATGGTAAGCCTGTGTAGTAATGTCAGGACAGCTTTGCTGTAGACACACTACTAATTAATTATTCTTAAAGCTAGTTCAAGCACAAAGAATATTAATTGTTTAATTACAACGGAGTCTTTCTTTTTCGAGTTAAATTTCTGCCATGTGACCGAGATAACTGTGAGTGGATTGTTTAATCAGTGACATAAGACGCCATTTTATCTTTGACCCATCAGAATAAATGCGGTCATTTATTTAACAGAATCAAAATTTAACATCAAAACATGTACACATTGATTTGCTGATCTGTTTCTGATTAATAAAAACTTGGCAAGCTTTACTAACAAGACAACAGAACATTACTGATCGAGGCTGATTCACCTCTGAAGGCATCTAGATTACTGGCAAATAGAAGTTAAAGAGAAGAAATAGATTTAAAAGGAAGATGGATGAAGGAAGATGTATGTTTGTTGACCAGAATTGGCACTCTTCTTTCAACACCAGCTCAACACCCCCACCCCCACCCCCACCCCCGCCCACTTAGTACGTGACAACTCGTGACGTCTCTTTACCTTTGCAGTGGATGGATCAGCTCCAGTATAGAGGTCCCTTTGCATGCTACCTTTCAGCGTCTCCGGTCAGGGTGGCTGGTCATCGTTCGAAGTCGTGATGATTTACTCCATTCAACAGAACAAGCTTCCTTCGAAGTTGTAGGGCGTTACACCCGGGTGAGTTCACAGCGAGGCACTGTGACTCCGTTGGGATGGACGGACCCTTGTCTCACGGTCAAATCCATCAGCTATTGATTAAATCTGAAAGTTCCTTAGGAACTCTCAGTAAGACTCCAGTCAGACATTCCACTCAGAAGTGGAAGACTCCTGGGAAGACTTCAAAGACTCAAGGAAGACTGAAAGAAGACTCAATAGTCCCAGGAAGTGTTGACTTTTTAAAGAGTACTCACTTCCTGTCACTTGGTACTTCCTGATTGGTTGAAACAACCAGCTGGGGGGTGGTTCTAGTGATGTCAAGAGGGTCACTAGAAGTCAAAAAGACAGCAGGAATGTTTACGAACAGTTAGTATAGACGGAGAAATGTTATGACGAAGTGAGAAAAACGCAGATGCCAGTTGAAGTTACTTACTGTCTGCTAGTTTTAAAAACAAGACACTTTGTTCTAATAACTCGTCTCTGTTTGTCTCTGACTTTCGACCGACATCACTACTCCTCATTCAGACAGAAAGTTAAAATGCACACTTACTTTGTAAACAGACATTTAACTTGATTTCTAAGTTTAATGAGGTTTAAAAATCATTAATACTGTTTCACAGTTGATTTAAATGAGTGGTTCACTTCAACATTTAGAAATGTTATGAACTAAACACACTTTGATTATCAAGATACTGTAAAATAGTAATGATAATGTAAAAAGGAAGAGTGTTCTTTCAATTGATTAATTCAGGATACAATTAAATAGTCTCTTGATGAGATAATTTGTATTTCTGGATTCAAATCAATGAAATAACAGTTCCTGTCCCCTGAAGGTCTTCAGAGACAGGTTGAGGTCAGAGGCCTAGTTCACTACACCTGGGAATATGAAACGGGAGCAAAGTATCACAGATTCTGAAGCAAAGACACTTTATTTAAATTGTAATGAATCTACAAAACCTACAAGAGATTACTTGGGTTTTAATTTTCTTACAGCAGCAAATAATTATTTACTATGGAAACTAGATTTGTTAATCTAAAGTCTTATTCAATTCAATTCAAAAATACTTTATTAATCCCAGAGGGAAATTAAATGTTGTTGTAGCTCATTTTCCTTGTTTCATAAAAGAGTTGTTCTAGATGTTGATGGTTGTGGGCGGGAAGGATCTCTTGTGATGGTCCGTCTTATAGCAGATCTGAAAAAACTGGCCACAGATGTTGATCCGTTTACTTGCACTTGGTTGGCCTCCTGGGCTTAAGGAGAAATAGTTCAATTGAATTGAAAATTATTCAGACAAAGTCAGTCTGAGAAGGTCCCAGACATGTTTCACTCTTTGGATTTGTTCCCATTCATTCATTTTGGTTATGTCTCTTTTGCTCTGGCCAACTTCAGGCAGACCAGTGGTTTGTCTACTGTTCACCTAGGGCTGGACATCCATCCATCCATCCATTTTCTTTCGCTTATCCGGGGTCGGGTCCTGGGGGTAGGGAGGCCCAGACTTCCCTGTCCCCAGCCACTTGGTCCAGCTCCTCCGGGGGAATCCCGAGGCGTTCCCAGGCCAGCCGAGAAACATAGTCCCTCTAGCGTGTCCTGGGTCTTCATCTGGGTCTCCTCCCAGTGGGACGTGTCCGGAACACCTCACCAGGGCCCGCTTCACTATAGACCTATCACTTCACCTATCCACCTATCGATCTCACGTTCCATTTTCCCCTCATTCGAGAACAAGACCCCAAGATACTTGAACTCCTCCACTTGGGGCAGGACCTCCTCCCTGACCCAGAGAGGGCACGCTACCCTTTTCCGGCTCAAGACCATGGCCTTGGATTTGGAGGAACTGATCTTCATCTCGGCCATGTCGCACTCTGCTGCGAACTGCTCCAGCGAAAGCTGTAGATCACGATCTGATGAAGCCACCAGGACCACATCATCTGCAAAAAGCAGAGAAGCAATCCTAAGGCCACCAAAACAGATCCCCTCAACACCTTGGCTGCGCTTAGAAATTCTGTCCATAAAAGTTATGAACAGAATCGGTGACAAAGGGCAACCTTTGCGGAGCCCAACTCTCACCAGGAATAAGCCCAACTTACTGCTGGCAATGTGGACCAGGCTCTGACACCGGTCATACAGGGACCTAACAGCCCGGATCAAAGGGCCCGGTACCCCATACTCCCGGAGTACCTCCCACAGGGTTCCCCGAGGGGCGTGGTTGGATGCCTTCTCCAAGTCCACAAAGCACATGTAGACTGGTTGGGCAAACTCCCACGCACCCTCCAGGATCCTGCTGAGAATGTAGAGCTGGTCCAGTGTTCCACAACCAGGACGAAAACCGCACTGCTCCTCCTGAATCCGAGGTTCGACTATCCGACGAACCCTCCTCTCCAGAACCCCAGAATAGACCTTACCAGGGAGGCTTAAGAGCGTGATCCCCCTGTAGTTGGAATACACTCTACGGTCCCCCTTTTTGAATAGGGGGACCACAACCCCGGTCTGCCAATCCAGGGGAACTTCCCCTGATGTCCACGCAATATTTCAGAGTCGCATAAGCCAACACACCCCTACAACATCCAGAGCCTTAAAGAACTCGGGGCAAATCTCATCCACCCCTGGGGCCCTGCCACCGAGGAGCTTTTTAACCACCTCGGTGACCTCAGCACCAGAGATTGGAGGGCCCGACCCAAAGCCCCCAGGCTCTGCTCCCTCAGTGGAAGACGTGTCAGTGGGATTGAGGAGGTCTTCAAAGTACTCTGCCCACCGACCCACGACATCCCATGTTGAGGTCAGCAGCACATCACTCCCACTATAAACAGTGTTGGAGGTGTACCCCCCCCCCCCCCCCCCCCCCACACCCCCCCTGGTGGACCAGAATCGCTTTGAAGCCGTGCAGAAGTCATTCTCCGTGGCCTCCCCAAACTCCTCCCATGCCCGAGTTTTTACCTCAGCGACCACCCGAGCCGCATGTCGCTTGGACTGCCAGTACCTATCAGCTGCTTCCGGGGTCCCACAGGCCAAAATGGCCTGATAGGACTCCTTCTTCAGCCTGACAGCATCCCTCACTGATGGTGTCCACCACCCGGTTCAAGGGTTGCCGCCGTGACTGGCACCGACAACCTTGCGGCCGCAGTTCTGGTAAGCCGCCTCGACAATAGAGGCACGGAACATGGCCAACTTGGAATCAATGTCCCTCACCTCCCCCGGAACATGTTCGAAGTTCTCCCTGAGGTGGGAGTTAAAGCTCCATCTCACAGGGGACTCTGCCAGACGTTCCCAGCAAACCCTCACAATACGTTTGGGTCTGCCAGGTCTGACCGGCATCCTCCCCCACCATCGGAGCCAACTCACCACCAGGTAGTGATCAGTGGACAGCTCCGCCCCTCTCTTCACCCGAGTGTCCAAGACATGTGGCCTGGACATGTAGGGCTGGACAATGTGGCCAAAACTTTTATTACAATATATTTCTTAATTTTGTTCGATAACGATATAATTCGATATTGATATAAACAATGTAAAAGCCTCAGAAAAACTGTACAAACTGTATAAATAAATTAATGTTCACCTTTTATTTGTATTTAGCCTTCAAAGAAATTTGAAATCACCATCAAACATAAAACGCTACAGTATTTTTACATAAAACTCTCAACTTTGTCAATATTAATAGTTTTAACTTTAAACAACATAACCCTAACCCATGCAGCAAATGTCTGTGTTTGCTGCATGGGTTTCTTTTGTGATACAGCTGGGGGTGTTGTTTCATGGACGCGTTGGCTCAAACTTTTATTGTGCTTCATCTTGTGACTCTCAGCATATTCTATCGTGTGGAAACTCTTCAAATGGTGGAACAAGTTATATGATAAGTTAGATCATTTTGAAGCGAAAACTTACCGCGATTTGGATCCTAGCCTAGCCTGCTACCGCTGACTCCTGCTGGTTTTGAGCTCTGTGTGTGGTGTACGTCATTACGCACTTACATAGTTGTGTTGTGGCTTTTTCTGTTCGGGTTAAAACGGCCGTCACTTCAACCCGAACAGAAAAATGTGTCAGTGAAACACTGTAATCCTATTGTAATGTATATTGAAATATTGAAAATGTGCTTAAAACTCATTTCGCCGTTATTGAATAAAAGTATATCGTGACATATATCGATTTCAAATTATTTTTCAGCCCATGTTCACTTAAATGTCTTCTCCAAGATTCTGCATTTGGCCCATTCTGCCATATTCATTTACAAATGCAGACTACCTCCAGCCTAATGTAGGTCAGTCACTGACTTGAGCTGGTTTTCAGCAGATTTAGCCAAGTGCTTTGTTTACACTGAGTGCATACCTGCATTTCACTATATCTGGAAAAGTACTGGCAAAAACGATTACAAACTGCTCCATTATATACTGTATTATTCAGGATAAACTTTTTGTTTTATTTAATGGTTTTATACCTTTAAACTGAAAATACCTTTTATTAACCAGCTGACCCATTGCTGACACACCATAGATACGCTGAATGTGAAAGTTCCATCTTTTGTCTTAAACTGATCACATGCGTTGACTAAATAATCTTCTGCATGTACATCATTCATTCTTCCATCATCTTGACCCACTTGTTTCTTTCCGGGTCACGGGGGTCGCTGGTACCTATCTCCAACAGTCACTGTGGTCGGGTTCATCACAGAAATGCATCATAAAGATGTAATTTAAAGTTGATAGCTTAGGCTAAAACCACCCCTGTGTGGTGTCGCCCATTAATATAACCAAAATGAACAACTGGATTGCAGCACATGCAGCCTGAATAGCAGGAGACAAAGTATATATTGAAGGACAAGTGCAGCAAATAACTTATAGGATTAAAGTAATGAACCAGGTGCAGCTGAACATGTAGACAATCACACCATGGCAACAGGGAGAAAACGCTTCAGTTTCACTTTCTAGAAAAGAGCATGTACCAGTTCACCTCCACTCACTGAAGTAATGTTGTTTCCACAGCTACAATGAGCGTCTGGATGAAAATGTAAGCATCCTCTGAAGTAATGAAGTAGAATGCTCCGTTGGCGTTCAGTGACATTTGTGACAAAATAACTAACGTCATAACAGAAATGAGGTGAAAACTCAAATCCAGGTCTGATTTTTTTTTTCTTTCAGTGGCTGCCTTCATTTATCAGAAGACAAAGAAAAACTAATTATTTTTAATTATTTTTTTGTCCATTCATCCAGGCTATAATGGTCATCATCAGTGGACTTTGTGACCTAAATATCAAAAATCATGTTTATTGATTAGACATTTGTATAACAACACAATTTATTACAGCTCACAGGTGGTCAATAAATCATGTTCAACATGAATAGCTGTTGTTAATCCTGTACGGTCAGTGGTTTCCGTGCATAAATTCAGCGCAGATGTTGCCTGTCTTCAGTTCACAAAGCCACGAGCAGCCGGCAAGTCGTGTTGCTGTGATGATCTGATAATCCCTCTCTGTTCACTTGTGCGGTAAAGCCCTTCACATTTTACAGTTTTAGGCCCCAGTTTGCTGGTGTCTAATTTAGTTCCCTCTAAAGCAGCAACTTTCTGGTAAAATAAAAACATCTGCTCTGGTAAGTTTGCTGTAACTTGGTTTTCTTTAGGGGAACAAGTATATTGACGGAGTAAGAGACCTGGAATAACAAACCTAAACGGATAGAGACAAGTGAAGTTAGAGTTCTCTGAATTGGAGCACAGTTCTAATTTACTCAAGTGTTTATGCTAAAACTTTTGTTCAAATGTAGTTCATGCAGTTGTTGATGTGCTTGAAAACATTTTCTGGCCCTAGGCGTTGGTGTAACAATTGAAATGTCCAGGCTTTAATAAAGATTAAAAGAAACTACAAAGTTCCTGCAGAAACTTTGATGTGGACTGCCACATAGCGGCCATTTAACAATGTTCATTTGACAGTACTGTGTTGGGGTTTGCTCTCAGCTACCATCGCACCAAATTTCAGCTCAATAAGATAAGACATCAATTAGGCCTGTCGTGATAAACAATAAATCAATTAATTGCATGATAAATGAAAATCATCAACCTCATTTTCATTTATCGGCTGTATTGTTTCTTCAAGTCTGTCTCTCTTTCTACTGAAGAAATGACTCAACTCCGGTGCTCTTCACTGACCCCTCTCTTTCTCTTTAAAATCTGTTTTAACCATTGAAAATTGCGTTTTTGGATCGTTAAAAGCAGCTAAGCTGAGAAGCTAAGCTACAAGTTAAGCTAACAGGCCGACCTCGGGAAAAAATCTCCGTCTTGTCAAAGCTTCAAAATTCATGGTTGAAACCCGTGCCTTTGTGTAAAAAGATTTTTTTTTTTTCTGCAAAAAGAAGCTGAGAACTTGTTTACTGATTTTTTTTATTAAAAGCTTTGTGTGACAAATGCTATGCTAATAAGCTCAAACCACACAGAGTGTCCGCCATTTTGAGAACCAAAAAACAGGAACAAGAGACAACCCATGTCACGTCAAGGGGCCTCCCTCCCATTTTTCTTAGAGACATGCTGTTCGCTCCCTCACTATCCATCCTTCAGTTCAAACGGTCTTTATACTCCCATCCGGTGCTCAAAAATGGTACTACACTCAAAATAAAATTAACTAACGTCTTCTTAAATTTGACAATAATGACTAATTGTCCAATTTCAAACAATATTATCGTTTATCTCAATAATTTGAGACAATTAATTGCCCAGTAAAGTTTATCGTGACAGGCCTAACATCAGTGTGTTATGGACATTATTTTTCTTTTAAGCTATGGTGGCCATCTTAGATTTTTGATTTGGATTCAGTATGTCATGGGGAACGTTCTCAGCTATAACCTCACCACAACCAAAGTTTGTACTTGGACATAAACAAATTACCAGTATCCAATAATTGACTGAAAAACCTGAAAATCTGGTTTTGGAAAAGTGTGTTATTTAAATCGGGGATTGTCTAGGAACCTTGTATTATGGGCTCCTACTTTTCTGCCTCATCTGCATCAAGTCTACATTGTTTCATTAAACTTGGGATGTTTTTCTTTGTGTATAATCAAGCCAGCAAACAGATAAGCAACATTAATGGCATACCTTCTTCTTAGCTCTCGAGGTGGTTCTGAAATGAGTTCATTATCTTTGCTGTGATGCTGTGAAAGACCCACTGATGCTGCGCGAGTCTGCCTGTCGTTTACAAAGAGGACTTAAATCTCAAACTCAATCAGCAGCCTCCACCGCCGTGCAGCGAGGTTGTAAAGTAAAAGCTGAGTCCCCTGACTGTGTGGCTAAAGTAGAAAGAATTTTTATTACAGAAATTTGAACAGGCTGCTAATGTACCATATTAAAATTATTTGCAAATGGAGTAGATTTCTCCATGAACCCTAGAGATCCGCACCATCTGGCTACATAGGAAAAGAAATGTTGCTTTGGAGAGTACGATTGAGATTTGGTTTAAATGCAGTTGCAATGAGGATTTCTTCAAAAAACACGTAGTTCAGGGATCATTTGAAAAGGACGTCTACATTAAAGTGGCACTGTTGCTTGAAATGTGCCTTGTACAAACACGCCTGCCACAGTTGTTGCTCCTGTGGGCTGGCCATTAATAATACATGCTAATCTGTTATTTGTAAATGCCACCAGATGACCATGTAATTCCCCCTCTGTAGGGTTGGGTGACTACAGCTCTGCTCCCAGCCAAGATGCTGAACAGCTACATGATGGGGATGGGTTTGTCCCAGCGCGCTCGTTACCTCAAGAAGCAGAAGCAGGGTTAGATGGATCGGCGGCTGCTGGGAGCCGCAGCGACAGACAGAGAGGGGACCAGCTGTGTTCGTGACGTGTCCAACTACCATCATCATCATGGACCCAGCAAAGACAAAGTGACAGTTTCTGGGCAACATCTCAGTATTTTTTATTTTTTTTCCCCCTTCTTCTGAAAGTGATAGATGATGTGAGGGAGTCTGTTAGCACATTACATGTGTTCAATCCAAACGTTTGTGTAAAAACTATTGGACCAATTGGTGCTTTTTGTTGAGTAAACAGCTTTAATTAAACATGGGAACTAAAACCAACTCCCAAAACTGACCATCTGTCTAGCAAGCGTGATGCTTTCAGGAAGAAGCGTGGCTCTAAAGTTGCGCGATGTCTCTGAACATGTGTGTTTGTGGCTCCTGTGGGGGTTGCCTAAAGCTGTTTTGATGAAACGCTGAAGGTGAAACTTCCTCTTTGCAAGCACTTAATGAGTTACCAGAACGCAGAAATCTGTCAACCTTTCATAATTACAGTTATTTCATGTCTAGATTGAAAATATTCGTTGTAACACTAACATCAAATTGTCATTTGAATACGTTGTCAGCAGTACTAAAGCTGTGGCGAGAACTGCGTTTAGAATTGATTAAAGATAAAAACATCAGTAAAATGAGTACATGAAGGGAATTTTTGGTCAAATATGAGTGTGGTTTTTTTTATAACAAAGCAATTTGTCTCAGATATTCAACACTTCTCAAAATTAATGTTTTTTTTTCTTGCAATTTCTCAAATTAGGTTGATTTTGAGATAATATTGTTCTTTATTCATAAATGGCAGTAAATGTGTTATAGCTACTAAATTATTGATAAAAACATTCCTCGCCCTTCAAAATAAAAATCTGTCTGGTACAATACCGTGTTCTCTTCTAGAAACTGTACTCTGTTTATGTATTTTCTTTGCTCTTAGTGTCATACTATCTTTAACTTACAATATGTTGTCTAACATTCGGAGTAATAAAATGCACTCTCTGGTTAACTTGATTCACTTCAGCTTTACAGCTCTGTGTTGTTTGGAGTAACCTGAGCACTGACCCAAACAATGAAGAGATCTTCATTTCATTTCTGCCGTCAATAAATTTGCTTTTCAGATACATTTTCTCAGTAGTTTTTGTGTTGGACTTTTTTGTGTTCAGTTTGTTGATGTAGATTCTCAGTCATCCAGGACATGTTTAAGACAAAAAACAAGCGAGTTGACTTCTGTAGTTTGAGTGGAGTTAAAAGCTCTGTATTTGTGTTCAGTTAAGTACAGATAGACACTTTTAGGGCAATTCAAAATCATAAAATTTCCATGATGACTTTATTTAAAATCAGCTGTGGTGATTTTAGCCTCTTTTGGGTGGTGCTCAAGCACCCCAAAGTTTGAACTCAGCACTCCTGAAAAAGAAACCATCATGATTTTGTAAGAAAGCTTTTCAAACCTTAGATTCACCAAAACACTGAATAAATATTGAATATGGACTAAATGATGATGATGACACACTTAAACTGGCCAGTAAAATCTATATGATTTTATTTTTTGCACGAGTGAAATCCTCAATGCCACCTGTCAATCAATCCAATATGCTCGTTAGCAACTGACCAATCAGCGATCACGATTTGTCCTCAAGTGAACGCCCCTTACCTGCAGGAGCTCCACCCCTTTTTCCTCAACATTTAGTTTTGCATCAGGAGCACTGCGGTCAGAGGGGTTTCATGAAAAATAATTGGGGGAAAATGTTTTAACGTTGTCAGTGGGGAGCATGTAGTTCAGACAGCTTTACCCTGAGTGTTTAGAGGGTGGAATACAGTTTATTACATTTCTAAAACCTAAACTGAGTCTGGAGAAATGTAAAAGATGGATAAAGACCTGCAGCCGACCTGATGAGCAGCTGAATACAACAGTGATAAACGGGAAGTACCACTTGTTCATCTGTACAAAGGTAACTGCAGGTAAATCCTCCATTTTCTGTCATAATTACATTGTATGATTAATGATTAAATTAAAAGTTAATGTTCAAAGCTAGTTGTGCTTTGTTTTGTGTGTTTTCTATGTAGGTATATGTTGCGACTTATGTTTTCCTGCATTTAATCTTTGCTACGATCCTTTGAAAGTCCAATTTGTGATTAAGCTCCTGGTTTACAGCCATACCACCTTGAACACGCCTGATCTCAGCAGCTAAGCAGGGTCGGGCCTGGTTAGTACCTGGATGGGAGACCACCTGAGAATAACAGGTGCTGTAAGCTTTCTGGACTTCTCACAAACCACATCAGGGGGTGTGTTCAAGCCAAGAGCCATTAGTACTGGGGGCTAACCACCCCCAAAGGTTAGATCCTAGAATCGCCCCTGCTCATCAGTATTTAAACAAATGTGTCTATATGCTGTAGTTTTAATAGACTGGTAGACTTGCCACAGCTGGGAGGTGTTATGGACCGGAGCACACTGAATTATCGTCTTTCTGTTGAGCATGATGGTGACAGCGGCCTCAGTGAACACACTCTGATGATGTCTAAAAGAGTCCTCTGGACCAGACTTAACTCTTAGATTTGTCTACCTGGATTATTGATCATGCATCAGGATATTCTGATGATGGTTATGTGCAGATATTACTGGGTCCAGTCTGACGAGCAGCTTCCCATGCTCCTCATTTTAGCTGCGGTCTCTACTGAGTCCAGCTCGAAGCCTAACACACACTCAGCCCTTCTCATACGTCTAGTCTTGCTCCACAGCACAGAAGAGGACTCGGTCTGATAAAACATCTGCAGCAGATTACAGCAGCTGTTGAAGGACCTCGTTTTCCTCTGAAAGTGTGGATGGCTTGGTCCTTACCTGTGAAGTGTCTCCATGTGCACAGTCCATCCATCTGCACATCCAGATGTACACTCGTAAATGTCGTGGCTGCATCCACATCAACCCCCTTGATGGAATCAGGCTGTGGATGAGGCATTTTATTTAAAAGGTCCTCCATCATCTTGGTCTCAAAAGTGTTCAGAAGCTGCAGATGGTTAGACCTGCTCTATATGTTTTTTTGTTGTCCTTTCTGTTTTATTTTTGTTATCTTTTCATTCTAAATTTTAAAGTAAAGAGAGACAGTTTATATAATTTATTCTGAACTTAGTCCAAATGTCTGAAGTTCTTGGCTGCAGATACAGCGCTGCTGTGTAAACGTATATGCCACTTTACAAATTTCTTCTGGTTTTGCTTTTTTTTTTTTGTTCACAAACATTTCTTATCAGGGAAATGGTATTATTAGTTAAAACAGAACCTGAGTAATTTTACATTGCTGTTTTTAAATGATGATTTAAGGGGGGAAAGTGAACCTAACCAACCTGGCCCATCATGAAGAAATAACTGTCCCCTTGTTAAATCATTAACTGTGATTAACCACGTATGTATGGAAAGCTGTGTTCAGTTTCTCTAGCCACACCTCAGCCCGCTTGTCAGATTTGTAGAATCAAGAAATCTCATAGAGCTTTTATCCATAAAGAGAGACTGTGGTGAACCTTCCCAGAAGTGACCCTCTGGCCAAAATAACTCCCAGAGCTCATTGACTGCTCATTTAGGATGTTCTAAAATATCTAGAACATCTAAAGCCTTACAGATACTGTCTCATTTAACATTCGTGTTCATGATTCTACAAAAAGAAGGAGACAAAGTACAAAAATGAACTTTGTGAAAGTATTTCAACACCAAAACCACTTCTGACCAAAACTGACACAAACACATTTGCTTAAAATTATCTTGATGATCTCCATCAAGGTGATTGATGGGGATCATCGATCACTTTTGAGAAAATATGCTCTAAACTGATGAGACAACAGTTGAACTTTTTGGACTGTGTGCTGTTACATCTGGTGTAAAATGAAAATGGCTTTTCAGAAAAAGAGCAACAGTCAAACACAGTAGTAGTAGTGTGATGGTAGGGGGCCGCCTTGCTGCTTCAGGATTAGGACGACTTGATTTAATTGACCTCTTGAGCTCTCTTCCATAAATTCTTGTAGCAGAACACCGCCACCTTAAGATCCAGTACACGTGGGTTTTGCAGCAGGAGAATGATCCCAAACTCAACAGCAAAGTTCCTCCACAGCGTGTGAAAGACTCGACACCAGTCGTTGCAATTATTGCTCGACTGCAGTTGTTGTCAAAGAGGGTGACACAGCCAGTTAGGTATAGGGAAATACTTTTTCATATAGAGCCAGTTTGGTTTGTAAAGAATTTTTCCATGTTCATGTTCAAGAATCTTTATTATCCCCAAGGGGTAAGTTGTTTCACAATCAGTAGACAAAAACATCCATATATGACAAGACAACAGTAAAATACTATAGGCTACTAAGTACTAAGCAAAGTACTAAAATCACAGCTGCTCATGAAGAAAAGCCTGACTGCTGCAGGGATAGATGAGTTTTTCAGACTGTTTGTCCTGCGTCTTGGCAACATACCTGCGTCCTGACGGAAGCAACCTGAACTCACCATGGAGTGGATGATCAGGATCTGCCAGAATCAGCCTGGCCTTGTTCATTGACCTCTCCTTGATCAGTGAGGCTCTGTGGGACTACTCCAGTAATTTTGCTGCATATCCTGACCATCTCCAAGAGATTGTTCCTGATTTTTACAAGATAAAAATCCAACTCAACTGATGAAGGTAAAAGTTAAATGAGACTTTATAAAACACAAATAAAACGTTCTCATAAAAGTAGAATCAACATTAAAACTACAAAGTTTCAGATTAAAATACATTCTCTGCTGAGCCTTCTTACAAAGTTTATGTGCATGTTAAAGGTCAGTTTATCATCAAATTTCCCAGGTTTTTATATTGGTATACAATCTCAACATCTTCAACATTGTTTGTAATTTCCCTGAAGGAATCTTCCCAAGGGATCAATAACGTTTAATCTAATCTAATCTAATACCCACAGGAGCGGCAACAGAAGAGTCTTTTCTAAAAATCAATGATCGTTCCTTTTTAAAAGCATTTATCTTTAAAAGGGAAGAGTCACACCATCCAGTGAAGACCCTGACCACAGGCCCACGTCAGGGTCTTCACTGCAGAGAAGGGACGGATGATTGACTCATCTGGAAACTTTATAAAGTGACGATGAATACTGGCTGCAACAATCATTTCTATATAAATTTAATCAATACATGAAATCATTTTAAAACTGCTTTTTGTATTTACTCAGGTTTTCTTTGTCTGACATCAAGATCAGTTTGATGATCCCAAAATGTGACCCCCCCAATAAACCCAAACATAAATCTGTAAGGGGCGAGTACATTTTCACATGCTAATTTTCACTCTTTAGTCTTATTTTCATGTTCTGCACAAGAAGTTGAGCACATCAATAGATATATTTTGCTCAGATTGTTTATTGGTGCTTTTCCTATTTGTGCTCTAAGTTAGAAATTGTATTTTGATCTGGCTCAGTGGGTTTTATGCTAAAATATTACTCTATTGTTCTTAAACATAGATGACATCCATTACACTGGAACAATCACAATAAAAGACCAATAAACTCCTGCGCTGCAAACAAAATATCTTGCCGTGTACTCCTAAAACTCAACAATCAGCTCACATAACTCTAAATTAATTGTGCCATTAGTCACAATTTTCACAGTCCATATTAATGTGTTGTCTTCTCACAGCTCTTCCCTCCCAAACATCCCCGTCCGGTTCCCATGCCAACAGTTTCCAGGAGGTT